TTTCCTACACTCTCTCTGCCTTGCTGTCATGAGATTCTCTCTGGGGAGCCAAGCATTTTTAGAACTAAAAGGAGGCAAAATCTTTAAGTGTAAAGCCGCTTGCAAGCCTGTAATACCAGCAGGCCGGGAGGCTGGGGCAGGAGGATGCAAATTCCAGCCCCACCTGCGCAATTTAAGGAGACTCTGTCTTAAAAGGGGGAGCCTGGGAAGGTAGCTCAGAGCGAAGGCCTTGAGTTCAACCCCCAGTACCACAAAAAAGAAAACAAAAGCTTCACATGAAAATGGCCATAAATTCTGCCCCGCCTCCCCGTAATACATTAGCATTCAGAACGTCTCACAGGGGCCAACAGATTTGTGTCTGATCTTAATTCTGTCCCTAACCTCTATAAATACAAGCTGGTGGAAGATGGGGAAGAATCACAAGAACTTATCTGCGGCTCATAGTGCCTCTTTTTGGAGAGCCTTCACCCTGAGCCACATTACCAGCCAGTACTATTACTGTTCTTGAGAGACTTCTTGTTAAATTGCTATGTAGCCTAGGCTGTGCTTGAAATTGTGATCCTCCTGATTCAGTCCCCCACACAGACATCTGGATTTACAGGTGCCTCCCCCTTTGACTTTGATAACCGCTAGAGAAATTTTTATACCTAGGGCAATGAATCCTTTTCTTTTGTTTTTTAAGGAGGGGCCTCACTAAGCAGTTCAGGCTGGCCTCGAATTTACTGTGTAGCCCAGGCTGGCTTCAAGCTCAAAGCAATCCTCCTGCCCCAGCCTCCCAGGTCCTTGGATTACAGGTGTGCACCACCACACCTAGCCTGGGGAATGCATCCTCGACTTGGGGAGGCTGAAGGTGTATGGAAGGTGAGGACCCACAGCTGGGTTGCTTCAACTGTTGTTTCCCAAATCCCCACTAAGCACCGTGTTGTTTTCTCCATGGGTCCAAGCACCCCATGCCGTCCTCAGGAGTGGCGATGACCAAGGTATAACATGGTTCATAGTCTTTATTTCTCCGTTTAAGTCGACTCCGACTGATTCATGTCTCAGCTTCTGTCAGTGAAACTATCAGGCTTGCATTTTGCTTCTAATGATAACTAACGAAATTCCAAATTCTGGCCTTCAAAATGCAAGTCTGTACCTCACAGAAATACAAGAAGAAACAAATGACGATGTTCGCTCTCCCTTCCAGCTAGAGGGAGAGAGGACATTTTGCATTGTGTACCAGCTCGGGGAGGGGGGGAAAATACAATCGGTAAGGGGTTAAGCTAAGATGACCTCAGCTTGCTCTCCTGTATCAGTGGCTCATATGGTTTGTTGTCTTGTAATTCTTTTCTTTTCTTTTTTTGCTATTATCAACGTGCTCTGTTCTCTGTCAAATTACATGCGTCCCTGAAAGTATTTGGACAAACAGGTCTTGTAAGTCTCTAAAAACTTTCTACATTGTTGCTACGTTCTCTGAAAGCAGACCCCGGCAGAGTTTGGGGTGCAGAATGTTTTTGAGGGGCAAATATCTGCGAAAGGAAAGGTAAGGTAGCTGGGCAGAGGCCGAGTCGGACCCGGGCGATCTCGCTGAAACGCCGAGCAAACTGGGAGCTCTGGGGAAAGCGCTGCCTCCCGGAAGGGCCTGCGGGGCCGCCCAGGCTCTGCCCAGGTCCGGGCAGCTGGAGGCGCCGCTAGAGCCCCACGCAGCCGTCCCGGACCCCTTCCCGGAAGGGCTGGGCCCGCCTCTGTCTCCCCCTGCGCCCCACCTCCCCGGGCCTCTGCACCCACTTTCCCGCGGTTGTTTAGGAAGCTTCCCTTCCACTGAAGTGATCAGCAAATCTGTTGTAGGTGATCTAGAGCCTAAGCCTGGTTTTCAACTCACTCTCCAAAGGCACTTGGTGAAACAGACTTCCTATGTCCTGTGGTAAAGGCCCTGCTAAGTCGGTCCCAACAGCCACCCGGGCCCCTGTCCGGGGAGAAGCAGGAGGGGCCGCCCCGTGCGCTCCGGGGGGTGCCTGAGCCACCGCGGGGGCAGCACCCTGGCCGCCAGCGCCTTGGGGATGTGTAATCCTGACGCTGCAAGCTTATGAGATTTGGTCCTGAGAAATCCTGAGAGCAGCGCCTGGGGCAGATTGTGTGTGGCACCAAGGAGACCGAACCATCTTCAGAACCTCATTCCTTCATGGAACTGGGGTCCCCGTGTCAGAATCCGGGTGAGGGACGGTGCAGGGAGCAAGAGAAGTCACAGCAGCAACCAGGGCTGTAGGGTTAGGTACCAGCACTCTGTCTGCTTGAATGTGGAACTCCAATTTAAAATTATTTTGGACTGCATGATTACCAAGGATTGCAGGGTGAGCCAAAGGCAGGGGGAAGCCCCAGAAAGGTGGTACTCTGTTCCTACTGGCAATCTTGTGTGAAGGGCTTGAATCTGCTTCATTTTATATTTTTTGGTAGCGGGGATCGAACTCAGGTCCTTGTGCTTGCAAGGCAGGCGGCAGAACCGCTGAGCTAAATCCCTGGCCTTCTGCTTCATTTTAATGTGGAGACATAAAAGAGACCCCCCTGTTGAGCAGTTTTTACCAGTGATTTGCAGAAGTTACTCAGCCCTCACTATTACAGGTATGAGCTTGATCAAGGTGGACAAACACAACCACAGGAAAGCAGGTCATGAAAGTGTTAGTAATGATGAAAATGGAAACATTCATTTAAATTACATTCCCTTTAGTTTCTGGTCATAATTTTAAAGTTTTTTTTAAAACTATTGTCACTGGGCCTTCAGCCGAAAGACTACCAGGAACACAGCTGTGGCTGGGCAAGTTGGGTCTCACCCCTTGCAGTGCTGGAGGACGCTCACCACGGGAGACCGCGGCGTGTCTGGGGAGAGGTAGCTTGCCTTGCATCAGGTCTCGCATTTCTTTCCAGAAAATTCCTCGCTGCCTCTAAGGAAGCACAGCTGCTGTCACCCTCCCAGCCACTCAGACAGTCAGAGGAAGGCCACGCAACTCACCCTCCTCCACTGTCTTCCCTTCTCTTTCTTCTGTGCTTCTTCCACAAGCAGGGTTTGGAGGAATGTGTTTGAAGCGAATACACGGAGACCAGTTTGTTGATCACGGCGACCTTTGTAGATCAGATGGCTTTCTAGGGCAGAGTTCTGGGTTTAGGTAAAGAAGCGATGGGCGTCGCTTAGGTTGAAGAGATGGAAATAAGTGCAGAGTAAGAAGAAAATCTGCTTATGTATCGAAGGGTGTTGAAAAAACCGGAAAGTTATTTTATACTAACTTCCAGAGCAAAGGGATATTGGGGACAAAGAGAAGAGAGATAGCAGCCCTTCATGGAAAATTCAGAAAAGTTTGAAAGAAGAGATACTTAAAGAGGGAGCAGGGATTTACTAGCCAAAGACGACCACCGATTTGTCTCATTTTGCCAAAAATGGCCCCGTCAGGGCCTGAGTGTCTGCTCCAGGGCAGACCCAGAGACACCCCCACTTTCTTTCCCTGTGTTTCCCTGTTCCCAAGTACACCGCAAGCTCCCTGTCCATATTTGGACCGTCCCAAAGGTGGGGATACTGAGCGAGAACGGTTTCTTCTACAGAGACGGAGGTCTCTCTGCTGAGGGTCTTTGGGTCTCTTTCCCACGGGACTCATTCCCTTCAATTCGCATTTCCTTGCTTCTCCAGTCCCTAAGACCAAACCCATGTGAATCAACAACATTTCTGCTACTGCGTGCAACCACTTCTTTTGCGCAAACGTTGGTGACTGGGGACGTAGTTGAGTGGTAAAGAGTTTGCCTGGCAGGCAGGAGGCCTGGGCTCGATTCCTAGCACCATGAAAATTAACACAAATATTGGAGATGCTGCGCTTCTACTGAGATGATAATCATTCCTTTATGTAAAGTGAAGGAGGGCTGGGGATTTAGCTCAGCGGTTTGGTGGCCTGCCTTGCAAGCGCAAGGACCCGAGTTCAATCCCTGGTACCAAAAAAAAAAAAAAAAAAAAAGTGAAGGAGCCAGGGATTTAGCTCAGTGGTTCCACTGCCTGCCTCACAAGTTCAAGGTCCTGAGTTCGACCCCTGGTACCAAGAAAAAAAATCAATAAAGTGAAGGAGAGCAGACTGTTCTCCTTATTACAGATGAGAGGAGCAGTGGGCTCAGGTCCCCTGTTGCTCAGGGAGGCTCCCAGGAGGCTGGCATTAAAGGTGAACCCTGCCATGTGGTGGGGTGGTCCTTATTTGGCAAATGAACTCCATTTGGTTGCTTATGTCTTCTTTTTTTTTTAACTCCTAAGTTTCTAGTAAAGTCTTATTCACATATTGTAGTTTTCAATGTCAGCTATGTGATAGAGTAGTAGGAAAATGTTTTGTTCCCAAATTACTGCCCAAGTGGGACAGCAGCACGCGTAGAGCTCATCAGAGATCAGCAGAGTAGAGGAAAACTCCAGAGGCAAGGGCCAGGCTTTTATGGTGTCACTGCTGCTCCCTACTTGAAATCTCTCTTTGGAGCTCATACTTGGAGATCTGGGTTTATTGATGGAAAGTAACAATTATATTCTGCCTTCGTGTAGGCCAAGGCTTGGGATGGACAGAAAGGACGTCTGGGGTCTCTGGATAGAGAGGGTTTGAGCAAGCCTCAGATGGAGAGGCAAGAATCTCCCATCCTGTTTCTCATCATGATTTCCTCCCTTGCTTGTCGATTTCTTTTTCCCTCTCCCCACCCAGCCCCCGTCCCTCTGGCCTCCCTGAAACCCACTCTGAAATGTGTGTGTGTGTGTGTGTGTGTGTGTGTGTGACCCGCCTTCCTCTGTCTCCTCTCTCCGTCTCATTTTTTTTTTGTCTGTCTTTTGTACTCACTCAATTTTTTACCCTGTTCTGAGAAATATACCAACTTTCAATTTCGTAGAATAATCAGACTTCCAATGTTTTAAAGATTTCTTTTTCTCTTTTTTTGTTTTTTTGGTACCGGGGATCAAACTCCGCCTTTGCATTTGTGAGGCAGGCAGCGGAACCACGGAGCCAAAATCCCCAGCCCAAGATTTCTTTAGAGTAGGTCTGCTTTGAAATCATCTCTAATTACCAAATTTCCATATTTGTTTCGATCGAAGCCAGCTTTATTTAAGAGTTAGAAGTTACGGAACCCACAGCTCTTGTGATGTTCAACTTTTGGATGTTTACATTCCAGCACTGCCAGAGAGAGAGAGGCAGGGATGACCCTGATCTCAGCCACCCTCTGGACAGCTGCCTCCGCCAGCTGAGGCTTTGGTGTGTCTCTTCTTGCTGTGGTCCTTATTCCTGACACTTCACCTCTTCTGCTAAATGTCTTTTGGATTGTCCGAAGGTATTTCCTCTCCATAATCAGAGGCTGAAGAGATTTCTAAATTCTGCTTTTTCTTTCTTGGCAGTTCTTTATATATTCTCATACAGAGCACGGTATCCGCCAAAAATATTATGCCCATTGGCAGATAGAAAGGGATGTGAAACCAGGCAGGAATTGGTGACCTGGGGCCTGAAACAGAAGAAGACAAGGAGGAGAGACACCATTTAGACTCCAGAGGGATCTAGCTGAGTTCTCTTTGGAATGAGATTGGCTGAGGCCTGGGGTGCTTGTCCCCATGGGGCACTGGCAAGTTCAGGGTCTGGGGGAACTGGAGGGAGGTCCAGTTGGGCTCTGTCCACACGGGGACGGATTCCTCGGAAGAATTTAACTGCTGGGGACCTATCAGTGGACTTCCTCTTTAGTTGCAGAGACAACTGCCATCTCTGTGCTATTTAATGCTTGCACTGAAGATTCGCTTTATTTTGTTTTTCTCAAAGAATCTTTCCTCCTGAGCTCACCATCAATTCAATTAAACCGAGTTCCGTCAGTTAAACAGACACTTGGGCAGGTGCTTATGTGCCATCTACAAAATCACTTTCTTATAAATATACCGCATGAGTCAAACACTGCACCCATACTGAAGTTTGAACCAGGGGTGGAAGGGCCCATCCACTGGTTTTTCTGAAAGAGATTTCCTCCTCCTGGCTGGCGTGAAACCCTTGAACAAGCCCCAGCTCCACGGCAGAGAAGGAGCCCTTTCTCCTCTGCCAGCTGCTCCCAGTCCGTCTCACTCACCACCCACTCGAAGCTCCAACTCAAGGCTGCGTTTCCGGATATTTCCTTCTCCTGTGGCTGCCTCACACCAGTAGGACCCAGAGTCTTCTTTTCTGGCAGTCAGAATCTGGTACTCCGAGGATGTGTTCCTGCCCCTCAGCGTCTTGTTGCCGGTGTAGAAGGAGAAGTAGAGCCGCAAACTGGGCCTCCGTGGGTGCAACTTTGTTTCACAGTTCAGGGTGACAAGCTTCCCCTCCCGCGAGAATGACGAGGATGAGGTCAGCACTGGAGCTGCAAAGAGCTCTAAAGAGAAGGTTGATAGGGGTCAGGGTTGCCTGCTCAGTAATGAGGCTCTTTTCACAAAAGACATACCCTCTCCCACCTTGGAAACCTGTCCGCAAGACATTGCAGCAGAATTCTTCCCGCTTACAAGTGAGTATCACTTGTAATCCCTGTTGGGGTTGCCTGACAGACATAATCAGGGTCACCAGCCTGCTTGTTGAGAATCCTTTACGTGGCCCTCGGCTCCCTGAATGGCCATGTTATTACAGAACCATGAAACGGTGTTCCCAGAGTAGGCACTAACTCATATCCTGGCCAGTTCAGTGACTTCTTGCTTGTGTTCCTCACTTCTGAGACAGTAATTTCTTTCCTACAGGAATGAACTTTTTTTTTTTTTTCAGACAGAAAGATGTCTTTGGTGACTGTGAGTGCTAAGAGGAAAGGCCACAAAATGGGTCCGAGCAAGAGCCATATGCAAACTGGAACAGGGGAAGCTGCTTAGTTTGCACAGAAAGAAGTAGGACCAGGAAAGCCACACTGTCCTGGAGAGACAGATGAAAAGTGTAGCCAACTCCTAATGCCTTTCTGTCTTCCAGTTCTGTGGAGTGTTCATGAAATTCCTTTGGATTATTTTCTAATAACCCTTCTAGCTACCCTGAGGGAGTCTCTGTTCTTTGGGACTAAAATTAAATCGATGAGATGGATCTTCATGGTGTCCTGACTTTGGGTTTAGCGCCTGCTGTTAGGGTTAGGGCGTGGTGGTATAGTGGAAAAAGCACATGTCAGGGACCTGTTCACTAAATAATTCATCTCTCTGGAGCTGTTTCTTCACTTATAAATTGAAATGAGGACTTAAGATTATTTCTGCCGGTCCTTCTGGTCTCAGAATCTGGCTCTACAGCGATTTTGATACAATACCTTCCACCGTCACAGCTGTTGGGGCTGACGTGTAGCGTTGTTTTTCACCCATGCCTGAGCAGTGATACAGGCCACTGTGATTCGTGCTGGTTTTCGGAATAGTGAGTTCAGACTTCCAGCGAGAAAACTTAAGGAATTTTTCATTTTGGTAGAAAAGCATTTTATATACCAGCTTATTCCTCCATCCATGACACCTCAAGGTCAAAGGTTCTCCTTCCACGAGGACTTTGCGGGAGGACTGAAGTAGCAGCCAATCTGAAAAATGTATACCAAAAATGCACACCAAAAATGCACGCCAACAGTGGGGTCCCCCAGTGACAGCCGGCAGGAAAGTGGGGACCTGAGTTCTGTGATGACAAGGAAGTGAACTCTCCCAGTGACCTTGGCAAAGGGCCAAAAAGGAGCACAGTCCCATCCACACCCTGATTGGAGCCTTTGTGGGATGCGAAAAGGAGCACAGTCCCATCCACACCCTGATTGGAGCCTTTGTGGGATGCGAAGGAAAAGACGCGGCTTACGAGGGTTGGGACTCCCGACCCGTGGAAACCGGGACAAAATAAATGCAAGTTGTTTTAAGCTGGTCAGTCACCGAAATAAAAAAAGAAATGTACTCCTAGCTTCTGAAAATTCTGTTAAGAGGAGTATAGGGCCGGGGATTTAGCTCAGTGGTTCGTTGGCCTGCCTTGCAAGCGCAAGAACTCAAGTTCAATCCCCAGTACCAAAAAAAAAAAAAAAAAAAAAAAAAAAAAGAAAAAGGACTACAGATCTTAAGACAAGCATACAAAATGGCAAGCATACTCAGATGTCCATGCCCTGCAGAGTTGGTAGAAATGTGCATAATATCATCGGGAGAAACAAGTGGCAAGTAAAATGCCCTCCCTTCCATGTACACCTCTGCACATAGCCCAGAAAGTCTCCTTTCATCCCCCCGGCCCACCGGACTCTTAATTTAGCTAAGTCAAGATTAAGCGTTTGGGGAGCTGGGGGAGAGAAGGAACAAAAGGGTTTTTCACCCCCCAGAACGTAACTAAGAATGAAAGGTAGGTGTCCAGTGGCCTATGTAAGTAAGGTCATTCTTAGTCTTTGACACTGCCGTCGTGCTTCTGGCTATGGTTAGGACTCCTCTTGTCCTTGTTCTTACCCCAACCAGAGACTGTTCAATGGCTGCACCATCCAAACACGCAGATATCTTTGCTATATCCCCAAAACATAGTGGGAGCTTTTAATATCCCTCCACCAGAACTGCTAGGACTCTAGTAATGATAGAAAATACTTGAATAACACAATTACTAGATTTGTGGAATCCTGCACCTTAGGAAGTGAAGTCTCATATACTTCCCAAGCACACATAAAACAATTTTTAAAATGGAGCGTGTAGTAGGCCACAAAGCAATTTTCAGCAAATATTGCGCTAAGGAAACAGTACTATATTGAACATAAAATCTGACAAAATATCGTTCCGTTAGAAATCAGCAACAAAACGCCACTTTCCAAGAATGTCTGAATAATTCCTAACAAAAAAGAAATCATGATTGAAATTTTTAAAATTTTAAATTTAAGTGATGAGAGTATTTAATATCAAAACTTGTGGGGTCTAGGTTTTAGGAGAAATAGCCTATTTCCTACTCGAAAACCTTTGCCCCATCCTCATGACATTGGGGTAGGAAGTAGCTACTCATTCTAAGTCACGTGAAAGGACTGGGGCCACCAGCCAGCTCTTATTTTCTTGGTCTCAACATCCATAGATTTAATGGAAGTAACTGAACATCAATGCTATTGCAATCAAATCTTCCACTGTTGAATAATTGCAGTAAAACTTTTTCCCCCAGGCCTGGGGCTTGTACCCAGGAAGGGCTGAGCCTCAGCACTTTTTTTTTTTTTTTTGGAGATAGAGGCATGCTAAGTTGCCCAGGCTGACTCTGAAATTGCAGTCCTCCTGCCTCAGCCTCCTGAGTACACTGAGACTTTACAGGTGTGCACCATCACACAAGACTAAAACACTTTTTAAACAGGGCTTAGAGAACAAAAAAACTGGTGTATTGTGTAAGTAGTAATTAAGAACTTTTGTTCATTGAAGAAATATACCATAGTGAAAAGGCAAGCCACAGAGAGGTAGACTATATTTGCAACACTTGAAAAAGGGCTCTTTCAGATATATAAAGAACTTCTATAAGTCAATAAGAAAAAGACAGATAATTAAAAATTGGCAAAAAGACTTGACCAGGTACTTTATACGACAATATCCAAATAATAATAATAATAATAATAATAAATAAAAAAGAATATCCAAATAGGTAATAAATATTTGAAAATTGTTAATACTATAGTAATTAAGGAAACACAAATTAAAACCACAATGTGCTGGTCCAGGGATTTAGCTCAGTGGCACCACGCCTGCCTCACAAGCACAAGGTCCTGAGTTTGATTCCCAGTACCAAAAAACAAAACAAAACAAAACCACAGTGCGCTACTACTACACATCTACCAGAATGGCAAAAATGAAAACATTTAGTGTTGTTGAAAACAGAGAAGAATGAAAGCTCTTACCCTCTGCAGAAGTATAAAGTGGTAAATTATAAACTGGTACAACCACTTTGAAAACCTGTTTGGCACAATCTACTAAAGCTGAGACCCAGCAATTTCACTCTTAGGTGTTTTCCAATGATGTACACCAAAGTATTCCAAATAGCTAAATTACCCAGAGGTTGATAGGCAGTTCCAGAAGGACCAGGTCCAAGACACAGTCAGAGCAGAGATGAGACCAACCAGGCCTGTGGTTAGGGGCTGAGGGGACAGAAACTAGGCACCAAGACGGATACACGATGGCTAGGCCCACAGCCTCCCCAGAGATAAACAACAGTCCAAAGCTTTGCAGTAACAATCACCGTTACAGGCAGCTAAGTTAGGCAGAAATTAACAGGCAGTCAGACAGGTCTAGGCCCCCAAGACAGTCAGTGCGGAAGATGAGAACACATCACAGCTGTAGTTGGAGGGGCACCTCTTGAAGGCCAGGCCTCAAGATAAATATGAAATGGCCAGACCTACAGGCCTCCCGGTGTGATAAATAGTAACCAAGTAAGTAGTCAGCAGGTTCAGATAAGCATCGGTCACCCAGGTGAGTGACCAGAGCATCTGCACCCATCCCTTCCCAAAATGCCTTTGTTCCTCTCGTGTACCCTTGCTAGGTGACTCACTTCCCTACTGGATCAATATTAGCTAAGAAGCTATACTGGGGGTCAAACTTGGGACCTTGTGCTTAAGGAGCTATACTGTAATTCGATAGCTTGTTTGTAGGGTTTTTTTTTTTTTTCCCCGTTTGGTTCAGATATACGTAATGGTAACATTCATCATAGTGAATTTGTACCTGTGCATAATATATCTTGATTCTTCTTTTTTCCCTTTCCCTCCCCTCTCTTCATCCTCTCTTCTCCTTATTTATAAAAGCTTTATTTCCATTTTTTTCTTGTATCTTCCTTCATTTCTCCCTCTCCTCTTCCTTATTCCTCTTCTCATTTGAATATTTTCTACCCATTTCTAAATACATTTTGGTCCTCGTTTACATTTTTGGTTTCTCACACCAGAGAAACAATGCAATATTTAAACGTGTGTTCGCTCTATTTCACTTGAATATGCATCCATCTCAAGGTGCATCTGTTTGGCTAGAAATGTTTCAAGCTTATTCTTCTTTATGGAAGAGTAGTACTCCATTGTATAGAAAACACACACACACACACACACACACACACACACACACACACACCTTCTTTATCCATTCATTGGTTCATGGGAATTTGGGCTATTTCCAAGATTTAGCTATTACAAACTATGCTGATATAAACACGAGTGTGCCTATATTGGTGTGGTAGGATGCTTTTAATTATTTTGGGAAGAAACCAAGAAGGGGAATAAGTGGGTCAAATGGAACCTCAAGTTTTAGTTCTTTGAGAAATCTCCACACTGATTTCCACAGTGGTTGCACCAGTCTACACTCCCACCACCAACAGGGGAGAAGGGTTCCATTTTCCCACAACCCTGCCAGTAATTGTTATTGGTTGATTTCTTGATAATAACCATTCTTTCTGGAGTGAGATGGAATCTCAGCATTGTTTTAATGTGCATCTCTTGAATGACGAGTGGTGTTGAACATTTTTTCACATAACTATTTGCTGTTTATACTTCTTTATCTGAGAAGCGTGTATTTATCTCAGATGCCAATTTTTGGATTGGGTCTTTAAATTTGGGGGGTCTGGTTTTTTTAGTTCATTATATACTAGATATTAGCCCATCATCTAAGGAATAGTTGGAAAAAAATTTTCCCACACTGTGGGTTGTCTCTTCACTCTGTTGGTGGTTTCTTTTGCTCTCCAAAAGCTTTTTAATACGATGAGATCCAAGTTGTTGATTCTTTGTGATATTTCTTACATGATTAGGGTTTTGTTCATAAAGTCTTTGCTTACTCCAGTGTCTTTAAGAGCTTTACTTATTTTATCTTTCAACAGATTTAGTGTTTCTGTTTAGATCTTTGATCCATCTTGCTTTTACTTTAGTGCATTGTGAAAGATATGGGTCTAGTTTTAATCTTCAGCATAAGGAAAGCCAGTTTTTCCAGCACCATTTATTAAAGAGGCTATCTTTCTTCCAGTGAAGGTATCTGGTTATCAAAGATAAGGTGGCTGAGTGTGTTTAAAGTTGTTTCTTCATCTTCTAGTCTGTTTACTGATCGGTGGGTCTGTTTTATTTTTGTCAGTACCATGCTGTTTTTAGCAAAGTAGGTTTGTAGTATAATTTCAAGTCAAGGATTGTGATGTCTGCTGCCTTGCCTTTGTTGACCAGATTTGTTTTGCTATTGTAGGTCTCTTCTGGTTCCAAATAAATTTTAGAATTGTTTTCTCTAATTCTGTGAGAAATGCTATTGGCGTTTTGATCTGGAGTGCATTAAATCTGTATAACAATTTTGGAAGTATAGCCATTTTCAATATATTGGTTCTTCCTTCCTAAGAAGAAGGGATATCTTTCCATTTTCTGGTATCCATTTCAATCTTCTTTTTCAGAGTACTGTAGTTTTCAATGTACAGTTCTTTTACTTCTTTCATTAGACTGATTCTTAGGTATTTCATTTGGGAATGCTATTGTAAAAGGTGTTTCCCTAATTTCTCTCTCAGTGAGTTTGCTATTTGTGTATGGGAATGCTACTGATTTTTTGAAGTGTCAACTTTGTATCCAACTATGCTGTTGAATTTATAAATGTAGAAGTT